ACTATCTCGTATTGGTAATCTTGGAGGAACATTGCCCAACGGGAGACTCTTAGAGGAACGTCGCGCTTCCTCAACGTCATTGCGAATGCGTTACAATCCGTAACAATTCTGAACTTCAGCCCCAGTAAGTAGACTCGCCATTTCTTAAGCGCTTCAATGATGGCTAACACCTCCAACTCGTAAGAGTGGTAATTCTCTTCAGGCGGCTTGGTTTTACGGCTCATGTACTGAACCGGGTGAAGCTCTTGGTCGTCGCAATTCCTCTGGAGAAACACCGCCCCGTATCCAAACCTGCAAGCGTCTGCATGTACTTCGGTCTCAGCTTACGGATCATACAGCGATAAAACTGGCGCGCCTATGAGTGCCGCTTTCAGTTGCTGGAACGCCGCCAACTGCTCGTCTCACAACTCGAATCTCGCCTTCTTTCTCAGCAAGTCTGAGAGTGGTTTTGCAACAACAGCATATCCGTCGACAAATCTTCTAAAGTACGACGTTAATCCTAAGAAACGCAGCAACGCTTTTCGATCATGAGGCAACGGAAAGTCTTTGATTGCCTTGGTTTTCGTCTCGGAGGGTTTTATGGAACCGTTTTCGATGACGTACCCTAAAAAGTCGACACTCTTCCTGAGGAACTGATACTTGTTCCATTTTATCTGCAACCCATTCGCCGACGCCACCCGTAACACTCGCGCTAACTTTTGAATGCCCTCGGTGTCATCCTTGGAGGGAATAACCAAGGCATCCATGTACGATTAGACTGTTCCATCCTGCATAAGGTTTCTCAGCACCGCAAAAATAAACCTCGAGAAAACGGCAGGCGAGTTCGATATGCCGAACGGCACATACAGGAACTCGAATTGTTCATTGTAGGTTACGAAGGAAGTATATTTCCGTGAATCAGGATGTACAGGAACATGGAAGAATCCGTTTTTCAGGTCGAGCGTCGTAAACACGTCAGCACCTTGCAGCTGCTTAATCACATCGTCGATATTAGGCATCGCGAAGTTGTCTCGCACTATTTTCTCGTTCAGCATCCGATAGTCGCAGCATAGTCTACTACTGCCGTCTTTTTTCTTGACGAGTACGACCGGGGATGCGTAGTCGGTGGTGCTCGGTTGGATTAGCCCGTCTTCCAGCCACTGCTTGACTTGATGGTCCACAGTCTGTCTATCGGAGTGCGACATGCGCCTTGGTCTTTCGTATACGGGAGCATCATCCGACAACAGGATCTTCATCTCCACTGGCGACTTGGTATTCTTTATGGGCTTGTATTCCGCTATCATTCTCCTCACAGACTCTTCGTGCTCCTTGTTCAAATGTGCCAGGTCAACCACGTCAGCTAGCACCTCTCCTAAATCAGCAACCAGGCATAACTCTATTAGTGTCTCTCGCCACTACTCTATCGCGCTTAGCAGCATTAGATGCTATTACTCCAACGGCATCCACCTCTGCTGTCCTCCGACCTCTCGCACTCGCTCGCGTCTTCGCTACTACAACGCCCGCCTTATTAGTGCCCTTTGCCACCGACGCCTTATGCCCTAGAGCCTGCCTTTGTAGCTCAACTGTCGCTTCCACGCGCCTCTTTGCGCCCGCCTGCACCCTTGTGCCGAATCTGCCGTCTTCCGTCACACACTCTACCTCTGTACCATGTGACCTGTTAACCGCCGAAGATGATTTATCTACTTGCATCCCGCTTTGTTTCTCTGCCTTCTGCCTGAAATTCGCGACGTCCTCTGTTACGATTAGGTCAACTTGTTTCAAAACGTTATTATATCTCTCTCCCTGGCTACGTGAAAGGTAAATTTTAGCTGAACGTCGTCTATAATGAGGTATACGGTAAAGCTGCCCAATGTGGTGAGCTCGCTAGTACCGATCCCCACTAACCTACGCCTCTCGTTATCCAAATCTACATCTAAATTCAACATCATAAGCGTATCATAACGCATTAAACACAAATCGCAACCCGTGTCGATCAGGGCAGATGCGATTACACCGTTAAAATTTATATCTTTGAATATTAAGTTACTGTTCTTTCCCGACTTCGGAAGACGCAAGTCGTCTGACATAGTGTTCACGTGGTTCCTCTCGGCCTTGAAGGGATTCTGAGGTACTCTACAATCAGCTGCCTTGTGGCCCTCTTTGCCGCATTTAAAACAAGTCATTCGCCTCTAACTTTCGCTGTTGAGCTTGGCAAAACCTTGTTTGATGACGATATGGCGTTGCTACTAGTCTGAGGCTTGTTGGCCTGGATTTTCTCATATACCTTTATTTGCTCTTTTAATTGTTGGATAGTCTTCGCCTGATACCGATTACTTTTATTCGACCTAGTGTCGGGTATCCCCTCGATAAATCGATTCAGCTGGCCTCGTCTATTTTTATTGGTTTGCTTATTTCCATTAAAACGTACAGATATTCTCTGAGATCTTCCCCCTGATGCTTCCTACGGTTGCGAAGGGCTCGATGCACTTCGACGGATGACAGCGCGACGACGAATTCTTGCTGCAATGCGTGCTATAAGGAGCACCAACTAACAATACCGCTTTGGCTGCGAATAAATATTTTCGCACCGCCCTTCAACAACTGCTTTGCGTAAATAAAACGTTGTAACTCATCCCAACCTACAGCTTCCGCGTTCGTCTCAAAATCTTCGAGCCACTGCTCATAACTGGGACGCCCTGATCCGCTGAATAAGGTCATAGAATCCTCAATGTCGCGAAGAGTAAAACCGGAACTTCCAACCCTAACCTCGCGCACGCTCTTCTGGCTTTCTACCTCATCGCCATCGGTTTCTCCGCCGTCACTCACATTAAGGCCAAAATGTTCCAGTAATCGGTCTTGTAAAGTCGATTTACGTCCGGTCGTCGACAAGCCCAACTCCCCCAATTTCTCCTTTAAACAGTCAACCGTCAAGTTTCGAATAGCGTCGCGGTCCACTGTTTACAAATTTAAATGTTCAACTTTATCAAAAAAAAAAGAAGCTATTTCAATTGCTTATTGGCCACACGTTTGTAATCGTATACGTATATTCGCTTATACAAGTATGCACATATGTAATTTTGGACAATATTGCGCTCTTATTGCTGCTACAATCAAATTTTCTTTTTGGAAAATATTTTGTTTGTGGATCACACGCTTATATTCGTATACGCGTATTTGCTTATACACGTATGTACATATATAATTTGGAAAATATTTCGCTCTTATTGTTAAAATCAAATTACCTTATTGGATTTGTGTTTGTATGTAAACGTAAAATGAAGGAAATACACATGTGCGACTACATACTACAATATACATACATACATATAATTCACAACATGTACTCATCTGCTTCTTGGTTGAGATTTCAACCCCGCTGCTGTCAACTTCTGTCGCCTGGCTCTTCGCTCCCTCGCTACTGTACGTTGGTTACTGCTGTCGACTGGCTCTTCGCTCCCTCGCTGCTGTCCCTGGTTTTGCGTTGCCTGCGCGTTGGTTTTGATGCTCAACGCAACGCTGTCGCCGTCGCTGTACTACTGCGCAGTCGTAGCTGTAGTGAGTTGCGCTTTGCTCTACTAGTAGTTGCCGATTCTGCCGCTGTCGTCGTCGCTGTACTCTTGCGCAGAGTTGTAGTTTGTTGTGCGTTGTCTTATAGTTGGCAGATCGCTGTCGCGGTCTTCGTAATTTACGCAAAGCCGAGCAGATATGCGCTGTCTTTGCGAATTTTTGCGATTTGGGTAAGTACCGCAACGATGCCGAAAATTTTCCGTACGACGACGCACACGGACCACTATAA